CAAGTCATCAAGCCATTCACAGATCTGAAAAATTATTAAATGTTAAACTTTATGTACAAACCAGACTACTAAATATAATTTGGTAATGACTGACTTTTTATGTGATCTTGATGAGGTACTATGCTTCTAAAGGTGATTCACAAAGATTTAGCATCTTGATAATTTCGAAAAAAAAACTAGTAGCAAAATTATTAGTTTAATGTTCAAAAAAATCTTCATTTTCAATTATTTTAATAGCAATGTGTCTATGAGAAACAAGAAGAGTCAGTCACTCTAAGTTTTTTGGTGGGATGGGGAGATTGTGGTTAATAAGACCAAATATTTATACTGGCTGAAAGTAAATGTGTATGTAAATGATGCATATTTTTTTAAAAGAGGATTTTTTTTTTTAACTTTCAAGGGCTCTGAATCCCAGAATTGCATTAACCATCTGTTGCTTTGTGGAGAACCCACTTTAATAAATCAAGAATAGCCTGAAATCAGCACATCAAAATCTTACTTTCAATTGTACCAGCTTCTACTTATGCTGAAATTATACTATGTCTAGTAAATTGTTATTAGAATATGCAGAAGCAGTGTTTTCCCAAGTAGGCAAATATTTCCAATAACAATGTTAATTCATCCTATTTATTTGCTTATTAAAAATAAGCATAAAAGTGAAGCTTTCAAGGCCAAAAGCACAAACTACTAATTAGTTCCAGCTAAATTAATGAGGGTTTACTGTACTAAGAGTGTGGATCTAAATTCTAGGCAAAACTGTTGCAAATAAAATGGAGAAAGGCAATAAGGTAATTTGGCAAAAGGCTGAATTAAAGGTCTAATTCCATCCTAAGCTCCCCAATTAAAATGTGTTTATACCCATAATAGCATCTATATGAGGGTAATCCAATTATGAACATAAAAAATTTTATTGTTAGATTTTTTTCTGTGCAAAATTGGTATCCGAACAACTATGCTCAAAACTGTGACGAGCCTTGGTCTCAGTTGGCCCCAAACTGACATTAAAAAGTGACCGTGGGGGGAAGGAAGGTAGAGTTCAGTGGTACAGTGTGTGCCTAGCATGCACGAGGCCCTGAGTTCAATCCCCAGTAGCTCCATCAAAAAATAAATAAACCTAGTTATCTCCTCCCTCAAGAAATGGTCTAAAATTGACTGTAGTGATGGTTGCATATATCTGTGAATATAGTAAAAAAAAAATTGAATTTATACTTTAAGTGTATGAATTGTATGGACTATGAGTAGTATCTCAATAAATCTATTTAAAAAAAAAAGTGAGCCTGGAATGGAGTCAACTCTTGGCTCTTCCTTGCAAGTAGGTATTTCCTTAAATGTTTCTCCTAAGCTTTGCCCTCCAAGGATAAGGGATGCTCTGGAAAGGCAACTGCTGCCACACAATGACAGATTGGAAATCAAGCATGCCGCGTAGCATCACGTTTATTTCACAAATCACATGTTTTCAACGGATTCAGCATCTGTCTAATACGTATGTTTAGATAAAAGGATTAAAACCATTTTTTATTAAGAAAGAAGTTATTAGGGGGAGGGCATAGCTCAAGTGGTAAAGCGCATGCTCAGCATACATGAGGTCCCATTACTTCCTCTAAAAATAAATAAATAAACCTAATTACCCCCCACATACACATAGTTGTTAAATGAAGCTGTGGTTATGAAAGCACTGACAATTATTGGGAATTTTTATGAAGGGGTTGACAGTGTGTGTAACACTTCAGTAATTCCATTTTCAGACTATTTCAGCATCTTCTTCTAGCAGCCTCTAAGCCAAACAATTGAAAAGTAGGAACTTGAGACTGTTTCTAAGTGAAAGTCAGTAAGTTTCCTAGGCAAAAACTATTCCAAATTCTGTTGGAAAACATAATTCTGGGTGTAAAACCAAAACCCAAGATAATCTTACTAGGACATTCCATAAGAAAGAGCCCCCTAAATCTCTCTGTGAATGTCAGCTTTGCTCAGGCTTAGAAGATCGTATCTTAGAGTCATTTTCAACAAAAATCGTTTATTTGTAAATGTGCAAAATGAGATGGTTTCGATTTTTCCTCCTCTTAGCAATTCGCTTTACCCATTCGTTGTTATTCTTTCTAAGCCTGAATTTATGCCACAAACAGTTCTTTTCTGGTGACAATTACCAGCTGGAACCTCTTCAGAAGCAGCGGCTAAAGTTCTTCAGTTGAACAACGCATCCCATAAAATTACTCCAAAGCCAGGTCTTGGTATCTAACAAGCACATTTCTTGAAGACCAGTAAGAATCTGACAGTTAGGGGAACCTACTCCTTCGCTGCAGTTTAGTCAAGGGCATTTCTAGGAGTGAGGAGATAGCACACTTTAGGCGTACCTAAGAAAGAAATAGTAAGCTATGAAGAATTAAAGTGTCATCATATTCTATTTGACTGAAAAAATAACAAATAAGAGCAATTTAGGATAATCCACAGGGTTCAACAACCTTGTCAAATTTTTCATCAATGGATCACGGACCAAAACATAGGATCTCAGATGCAGAGCATACATGCTCTTCCCTGCTAGAATCACAGATTGTCTGGGATGGCATTATGTACATAAGTAAATAGTTAAGGGAGGAGGGGAGAAAGGCAAAGTGGAAAAAAGCAGAAGAGAAGACAAAAAAAAAATGTTCTCTGAAGTATAAATTTGGGGGAAACAGTTAAGTTCTTAGGCTTCACACTGTCAAGATAAAAGCGCCCTCTTCCATCACTTTCTTCTTTTTCAGCCACAGGAATAAACAAAATCAAATGAATGACAAGAATTCTGCAATCTACTAAATGCAGGTGACTTAAAATGCATTATCTATGTCCTTGGGGTAGCGTTTGCTCTATTTCCATCATACAGCTTGCGTGGAACATTTCTATCTCTAAGCAGCCACAAACTTGTTCTGGAATTAGGTAAGGAACGGTGTTTTTCTTCAGTAAAAAGACATTTGTTCCCCTTTGAAGAAAGTGGGCAAGAGCACCTCTAGGGTTCATTCCAGGATTCCAGAATTCTGTGCTGGAACTTGAAAATCCAAGATTCATATGGTCATTTCTTCCCTTCCATCTGTCTATCCCTCTCTCCATCCTGCTCACAGAAACTTGCTGAGTTCCCCCAGGTGCCTGGCCCCGTGATAAAAGATGGAAATAAAACATAAACAAAAGGAATAAAATCCCCGTCTTAAAGACACTTTCACCCCAGAATGCTTAAACAGATATTCACACAATTATAGAAATAAATACATTATTGAAAACGTCAGTGAATGACATGAAAGGAAATCACAGGATGCTATAGAATCTGGTGATAGAAAGATTTGATTCGAACTTTTAACGTGCCCTGAGAAGAAGAAAACAAAACAGCCGTCTTGGTTCTTTAGTGGTGGAGAGAGTATTTTGCCCATTGACCACAGCCAATCAAATACTGAAGCAAAATCTCACATTCTGCTATGTGTGCTCAAATAAAACTTGGGCCTTTGTTTGCTTTTAAAACCCTTTCTATTGCTATAAAAAATACTTCAAAAATGAATAGCAAAGGATGTTTATTTACAGTGGCTTAGTATGCTAATATAAAATAAGCAAGAGGGTTTTAAGAGGAATGGAAACAAAATATCCGAAACAGAGCAACAGCCCTGGATCAGAAGTCAGAGGGTTTTAGTCTCCATCAAACATGCCCCAGCTGTGCTTGCTGCCTTGCTGGGCTGCCTTGGCCAAGTTATGCAACATCTCTGAACCTCAGTTTCCTTGTCCTTAAAGGAACCGCCATGTTCACCTACAGGATCCTTCTGAGGGGCTTAGGAGTTAATGTCCACAAAAGTGTTTTGTGAGCATCAGTATAAAAAGCATAGTATAGAAAGCAAGGAAATAAAGCTTAAAAAATGATAGTGCAAGTCTGAATCACCCCTCTTAGGGAAATTAGTACTGGCTGTCCCAAAAGACTTCATTAACTACTTGAAAGATGTCATTGCGCATTTATCTTTAAATTGCTTACTAAGCACTGTGCAAAAACCTCATGGCAATATTATCAGAGCCAATTACTCAGCACGTCACACTTAGTGCCTTGAAAAAATACCACCAAATGCTTTCTGCTGTGAATAACTATATGTGCACTTGCCATCCAAATTTTACTGAGAGAGGAAAATAACATTGTTTTGAAATATATGCTGGCTGGGGTCTTTCTTTTTTTTCTCTCCTCATCTTCAAAGCATATTCAAGGACAATGGAGTGAATCTGAAATTGGGAAAAGTTCGACTTGAAAGAAAATGCCATTTTCATCAGAGGAGTGAGTCAGTAATTCTTCCCTGAGTTCCTCTCTCCAGCAGTTCCTCTATTTTCACTTTAGAAGCCTTTACGTCTGTTACTGATTCCACGAAGAGCCTCGCTCAAGACACCAGGCTCCCTGGCCACCTGCCCTGCTGGATTAATGGGGCCGTTCTGAGAAATGGGGCAGACATTTTTAATTACTGCGGTTTAAGGGAATCACTCCGTGTTTACCTTCCACGATTTCAGTGCAGCTTCTCCAAAGAGGTACCTGAGATTTTAGAAATAATAATCATTTGCAAAATGTTCCAGAAAACTCTCCTCTGAAATACGCCCATCACACTACATAACTAATAATTTCCATTGTTGACATTCCCATCTCAGTGGAGGGGCAGTAATTAAACATAAATAGACCAACAGAAAATAAAACAAGACTTTTTAAAGCACAATCAAGTAATGAGTTATTGATGATCAAGCTTTAATATATTTTTAGATATAATCCTCTATTTATTTAATTTGATCTGTGTTGTCCTTCAGGGATTTTATTATTTTTTTTCCTTTACCTGAAAAAAGAAAGACATATAAAGTATGAAACGCCTCAGCTTTATTAATGCAAACATATTTTTTATTAAAGAATGAATGCATTTATGCTAAAGAGTAGTTTACATTTGTTGTCAAGCAACAAGCATATCTCCAAGAGGCGCGTTCCCCTCAATTCGACCCCATGCTTATTCTACGTGCCTTAAGACTGAACCCACCTTCGGGGGCACACGTACACACACAAACGCATACACGGACACACAGATACACAGACCGGAACACCGACACCACTGCTCGCTGAATTTGATAGACTCTCCTTTAAGGCTTCTGGAAGGCGTCCCCGAGCCCCTAACCTTAGTACCAGGATTAAGAAGAGACTTCAAGAAAGGAGCAGCATCACCTGGAAAGCTAGTCGTCTGCTCTCGGCCTTAAATGTATTATTTTAACCAATATTTTCAACGTCCCTAATGTTGACTCTTTGCATTATGAGATTGAAAGATCCACGGAAGGGAGAAAACGCAAGCTCTCCTGGTGAGACGTTCTCCTTAGAAACACCAAACTGACCCTAAGATGTCAATCCAGTTGTAAGAGTAGAAGGTCAGACTTCCTTTAGAATCAAACGGACAGAGGTTCTGTAGGTAAGTCCAGTTTGCACAGCTTGCTCCCCACACGAGGGCCACGTTGAGTGATGGGGCAGGGCTTCCTTAGTGGTACCAAATCAGATGTGAGGCTTGCCGTGGAAGATTCCTCAGACAACACCGTCAACTACGTAAGTGACCAAAAATCCAGGTTGAAAAAAACAGGACTGCCTACATGGAGTTTGTTCGCTTGCTGATGACTCATTCCCTTTTGCCAGACTTTCTGTCGTGGTGGTGGTGGTTCTAAACGCCTGCTTTGATTGTTTCTTTCACCTGCTTGGTTATTTTCTTCCCTTTTGGTGGCCTGCGGTGTCGGTGGAGACGCATCCCTGGAGGGATGTTGGCGTGGGCTGGACGGGCAAAGTGGGTGGATGGGGCGGGAGGAGGAAAGGGGCTCTTAGTAGTTGCAAGTATGCTAAGAAAATAGATGACGTGAATACAATAAGAAGGTACTACTGGATACACTTATGTAATAAAAGCATTATCTGTAACTGTGAATTAACTGCCAGCTATCAGGTTGTTAGTTGTAAAGCTCGGTAAAGGCTGTGCTGACGTGCTCACTGAGGAGAGAATCCGACGCCAGCCAGGGGAGAGGAGCTCTCAGGTCTGCCTGAGATGTTCCTGTAACCTGGAGGGCCTCCTGGCGGCATCGGCGCTCACCACCTCCCCCTACAGCTGGGGCTCTTATAGGTGCATTTAACATTCTTGTTGGGTTTCATAAGGCAAGTTGGAATGATCCATCAAATAACAGCCGCAGAGTATTTGCCTGAGAGTGGTGAAAATCGGCATGAAGATCTCCTACAGGGAGGCACTGGAAAATGAGAACAAAAAAAAAAAAAAAAGAAGAAGAAGAAGAAGAGAGTCTAGAACTTTCCTCCCCATCCACACGCCCGCCCTCCTCACAGTCACAGCAGCAGCAGATTTCAATGTAACGTAATTACTTTAATAATACATTTCTTTAGATTTAGAATTGCTCTTCTGAATTTAAAAAGCTTGGTTGGCCAATAATTTGGCAGTCTTGTCATCCCAAATTTGAATCGTTGCTTATTCATCAATCGCCTGGAATTCCTGGACCAATGCTGCCTTTGCTGAAGCATCCTAAGTTCATTCAGCCATCATCGGATTCCAATTCCTGGGACACCTCTTCAGAGGAGCTGTTCCTGTGGATCCGGCCGTCGCTCTTCATACTGTGGAAAGTCTTCTTGAAGGCCTCCATCATGGCGTGGGCCAGCTTCTTGGCCTCCAGCTTGCTCTCGCACTCAACAGCGTGGCAGTCCATCTGATAGGACAGGTCGTCATTGATCTCCCTGTAAACCCAGGCGAAGATGTTGGGGCTCACATTGTGGTCGGCAGTGCAGTAGGCAATGCGGGCCACCTGGAAGGTATCCATGTGCACCGTGGCCTCACCTTTGTGGTCGAGGTGATGGAGCCACACTTGGAATGGCCGGATTTCCAGGAGGGCATTGGCTGGAAAGACATCTTCTCGGGCTAGTGTGTGCTTCTTCCAGAGCTCAATGACTGGCTTTTCTGTGCAGCCTGACAAAAACTGCATGCCTGTGGTGGGGACTTTACCCAGATAGGTAACCTGCAGAAGGAAGAAAAGAAGAAAATCAGAGAGGTCAATGGTAGGCTCTTGGTTCTAGTTGTTCATTCCTGTTCTCAAACAGTCACAGGGTCACCCCGGAAGGATGGAGAGGCATTTTTCTTCTTCCTAGAAGAATGACCGTCTTTAGAATTTATACTTTTCCTAACAAGTTGACCACTTGGCAAAGGTACTGAAATGTCTGTAATAGAGTTAGATTTTAAAAGACACCGATTGAATTCTACACCATTTTGCTATCTGATGAGAACTATTTTCATTTAGTTTCACTTTTCAGCCATTTATTCATTTGCCCCATCTTTGGACTATAAGAGAAATTTTATATTTGTATGAACACCCTAGATGCAGTGGGTCCTCCCAAAGAAACATCAGCATTGTGTTGTCTGGCGCTTTTGTAATGACACTCTTTTCCATGTCAGTATTGGATCAGGCATGTCTTCAGAATTCATTCTTGTTTTATAACTGCAGAAAGTAAGATTCAAAAGCCTAAATTTCTCAGGTAAAATGGAACACAAAAAATAAGGTCATGTATTTATCTACTTGACATAAAGACACATTGTGTATAGCATCAGTGCATAACACATCTATTATCTGTTTTCTAAAACTCAAAAAAAAAGTATAATCTATTTACAATGAAATCAAAGAAAATAAAACTTTTCATCCAAAGAACTGCAGGCTTTTGGCATCCTGCCACAAGTCTGCTGTAAAAAGAGAGGCATAAACATGTTCTCCCAGGACTAATCCTGAATATTCCATTAGCTTCATCTTGCAAAGCATCACTAAGCCTGCAGATGGAGGACGGCTGAGAGTGGATTATGTGACGACGACTCTCAACTGCGATGCGGACAAGGGCCAGCGACCACACCGGCTGTTTGCCCGAGCAACGCAGCTTAACGTCTGCCTTCTACTGGGATTTGCAGTGGAGGCCACGAAGGCTGTGATGGACAGATAAGCCCCTTTGCTGAGCACAGAATTCGCAAACATGCATCTGAAATGCGAGAAAACAGCCGATTCTCTGGTGGTAATAGCTCCAGTCCTGCTACTTGATTACTGGGCCCTGCTCACCTCCGTCCTTGGCAATGCAAGCTTTCTCTTTGATAAAAACCCTGCCCAAACCTTCCTTAACTGTTCCAGTAAAGAACCACTCTCTGGTCCCCGTAAGACCTGGGCAACACAAAACATGGGTCGGAGAGACTGACTCACGCCACGGGTGAACCTTGGGAAGTCAATGAAACTTTGTTTTGTTACCTTTGGGGAGTTGAGAACACGGTCTGATATCCCACAAGATTACATTAATACAAAAAAATCACGTTAGCAAGTTGGCCCGTCTTAAAGAGATACAGGGGGAAAATGACCTGAGTAGTTTCCCTGGACGTGGAATCAAAAGAATTCTCTAAATAGAGTGTCCTTGAGGATGGAATGCAAAATGACGAAGTGATGTATCAACGCCGTCTCCTCTCCGAATGAGCCTTTAAAATCAGCCCTGATACCATCACTACTGGCCTGAGCTCTGGAACCCTGACTCTGTGCAACTCCCCCCAGTAAGTCAGTTATGTACTGCCTGCCTCGCATGTCCTGATTCCCCCAGTAAGGTCTCCAGAGTGTGGCATTCGCCCACATCGTTGACTCTAAGTTACTGAAAAAAAAAATTTAGGCTTGAAAAAAAGTGGATTTCTCTCTTTATTTTTGCATGCGTAGTTCAATAGAGATGTGCCTGATGGCTTTGCTTTTCAAGGGCAACAGTAAAACCTTTATTTTCCAATTGTCTCAGAGTGCCCAAGATTCAGTTATGCCATGCACTCAGGCATGCCCCCTATGGATATGGGGCCACGAGCACACATGTCTCATTATCCACGCGTCCTTTGATGTCAATACTCTTTCAGAGATTTACTCTGAATCTATTTACAGAGAGAGACCCCTTCGTGTCAGTCTTCCTCATGTGGGAAATTTGCTCTCACGGCCCTCTGTGGGCACTTCCTCTGTGTGAGTAAGAACACAGGACTCAGTGTGCAAGGCTGACCCGGGGGGTTCCACGACTGCACGGATACAGCGCCTGTGAATGAGGACCGTTATCCGCCCTGTCTATGAAAGAGGTGAATGTTTCCTACATGAATAAGTCCCTTCTGAGCCTCATCCTTAATACCTGCCATCTCCCAGAGCCGCAGGGCAGACGAGAAACACAGAGTCACAAAATTATTCACTAAATGTCCAAAACGGTAGACAGATTTTTTTCAAGATGTCACCTCCTAAGGCGCTGGAACAAAGGGACTTGGACGATGACAAGAAGCTTCTTTAGGAGGAGTTACAACCAGCTGGAAATAGGCAGTAGATACTGGCATCTTGGCCACGCTTGCAGAAACAGGCAAGAAACAGACGAGGAATGAATCATTCTGAGAGAAATAAACAAACAGACCAAAAAATGAAAAGTTTTTCCCTCTGTGTCATTCAATGGCATACACGGATGCCCAGACACAGACGTCTGCACTGTGCATGAATGAGTTTGCCTGACCCTAGCTGAAGTAGGTATTGGAGAAGAATCACGGCGCATGAAAAAACACAGAGTCCACGGAGCCAAGGGGCCCATGAGAGTGTCTGCAGCATTAATGGTGTCAGATCAGGAGAGACTGGTGTCCTCAGAATCTCTCCTTCCCATCCATGAGTTTTCCGACACCCCAGCCAGCTCTCCATTCATGAATCACCACTCCCTCCTCATCTGCGGCAAAACAAACCCTGGCTGCCCAGCATGCCTCCTTCTGGAAGAGCCGGCACCATTCCGTTCCTTCCTCTCAGTAGCCAGTCCATTTTTCATTCTGACCTGAAAAACCCTTATTTAGGACCTGATTCATCTCAGCTTAGACCAGACAGCGGGATGGGAAAGGGTAATGATGATGGTCCCTTAATGAAGATGGGAAATGGAACGGATGATCATGTGAGAACCCAAGCATCTGGTTTCCTGGGGGCCTTCAACTTTCCAGGCCGGGTAAACCCCGCCTCCCAACTTGAGAAGCCCAGCTTTGGTTCAGGTTACTACAGGCTTTCTCCAGGATGACACGTCAAGAACAAAGATTCTCCAAAGGCCTTACTCAGGGTATAAAAGTCCTTGCTGTTCTTTCATCGTCTGCAGGAGACTTCCTTCCCCCAGCTGACATAAAATAACTTGATATGAACACAGGATGGAGAAAACTTAACTGGGCATCCTCATAGCCTTTGGGTTACAAGGCAGAGATGAGAAAAAGAAGAGCCACTCTTCCCCAAGAGCCAAATACCAGTCAAGCTCTTCTTTTCTCACATTAACTCTCACCTGCATGTTCAGAGAAAGGGAAAAGGACAAAATCCTGAGATTTATGATCCCAGCTTGAATTTCGTCCTTCCTTGCTGGTCACAGAGGAGTTAGAAGCCACTAGGCACTTTGAAGAGTGGGGATGGATCCAACGTGCCAGTGACCTAACAATCCACAATGCAGACAATGGTAATGCTAACCATGACCTTGAACTGGTATAACATGCTTTAAGCCATGAAGAAGATGTTAAAGGATAAATGTTGTTCACAGTGAAATCTAGGATGTTGTGAGAAAAGATGGAAGTGATGATATAAGATTTGGGCTTGAAAATTAAATTTCTTTAGCTGTACATTCATTTGATAAATGTTCACTGAGAACCTACTAGGAGCCAGGTATATTAGTGAACAACATCAATAAATGTCTTTGCCCTCTTGGGGGCCTACATTCCAATGATGCGGAAGATGCTTACGAATGAGTTTACAGAATGTTGTGTTATGTACGCAAGGCTGGCCTTAGGGAGACGAACATTATGATTCTGGGAGCGCTTTTGATGGATCTGAAAACTTCTCTTGGGTTCAAAAAGGGTCTGAGACCAAAAACACCCCCATAGGTAGAAGACTAGGTAGGCCAATGGCTTTGGAAGAGTCCCCGGCCAGAGGGGAACCTTATGGGAGCTAGGAAGACACAGATGTACAAGATACAAGGCTGACTTTGTCTCCCAAACAAGATGAGCTGGCAGCTAGAATGCTGTCAGATACCCTACATTTGCCCTGATGTCTGGATAGATACTAGGGTTTCTTCTCCAGAGTAAGCCTTGGGGACCATTCCGGTGCCTATTTTTTGGGCAGATCTACCTCACCCTCATCAGGGCAGGAGTCGACCCAGCTGTCTTGTGGCCGGACAGGGATAAGGAGGAACTGTTCCCATTCCCCACGAGGCCATCCTCCAAAGTCTTTTGCTTTGTATCTGTTTGGCCAGGTGTGGTCGGCTAACCAAGGGGCAGGGGGTGAGCCTGGCTGTAGGGT